AGCAGGATAATCTTGGGGGAGAAACATCTGTTGGGATGGAAACAGTAACATTGGTAAGTTTAAAACATCATATTTCTCTTTTTCCACATTCAGAAAAGAAAGGGAATTTCATTTATAGCATGAGCACAAGTGATAGATGTTTGTAATAGGTGGCAGTCACCAGGGGAGAGCAATGTCTATGGTGAGATACTCTGAATAGGTTGAATTTGGGGATATCCTAAACCTAGCTTGATACTTATTGCTTCAGAATTCCCATAAGTCCTCATTTCCACATATGTAACAGGACATTTGAAATTTTACAACAGTCCATGAAGCTGTACAGGATTATTTGAAGGTTGGAGTAGATGGAACATCATTCTGGCAGAAGGATTCCATCATTCAACTTGAAAGAAATCAAGAGGGCAGAGGTGTATGGATGTAGTAGAAATGGTAAAAGTCATCTTCATCGTTGTAATGTTGTTTCAAGTTTGAGATGAGTAGGATCAATTAATGAGTCTGAGCAATCTTTGCATCATCATTCATCTATCCATCCACAGGCAAGAAGGCACAATGGATGGAAACTCTGTAACTGTGAGCAATATAGGAAAGACTTCAATGAACACTTGAGCCTTAGGACAGGCAGGAGAACTCAAAATGGAGGCAACACTTATGAGCATAATGAGTATGGAAAAAGCTTCCTTACTCTGCAGAAGAAAACCTCTATGGTTGTGAAGCATTTTGTGTTTAATCACTGTGGAAAAGCCATCATCCTGACTGCAAATATTGTGGACAGGAAAACCTGCATGGGAGAGAAAGCCTTCGAATGCAGTGATGGTGAGGAAGCTTGTGTGAATCAGCCTTCTCTTCAGGCACAAGTAGTAACTCAGAATGGGGAAAAACGCTGTGAACAGAAGGAACATGGGAGAGTTCTGTTCACTCCACAAGGCGTGGTATACCTGTACGAAATCACACCACAAAAAAAAGTTATGAATGTAAGGAGTGTGGGAAAGTCTACAAATATCATATATCCATTAAAATTCACATGGGAACCCACAATGGAGAGAAACCCTATAAATGTAAGGAATGTGGGAAAGCTTTCGTTATAGCTTATGAACTTAAGAGGCATATAAAATCTCATACTGGAGAAAAGCCCTTTATAGGTAAGGAATGTGGGAAAGCCTTCATTAGAGCTGATCACCTTAGGAGCTATATAAAATCTCATACTGGAGAGAGGCCCTTTATATATAAGGAAAGTGGAAAATCCTATTTTTATCCCTTAGTCCTTAATGATCACATGCAAAATCATAGTGAAATAAAAGTGCATAAATGTAAGGAGTGTGGGAAAGCCTTCCTTACTTTCTATAGACTTAAAGAACATATAAAATCTCATAGTGAAGAGAGGCCTTTTCCATGTGAAAAATGTGGAAAATTCTTTAAAAGTTCTTCATATCTTAAGATTCACAATCGAATTCACACTGGAACAAAACCATATAAATGTACAGAATGTGGTAAAGCTTTTATCAGGCCTTTACTTACTGAACATATGAAAACTCATGCTAGAAAGTTTTTATGTGAAGATTGTGGAAAATTTTTTGTCAGATCTCAGTTTAGGGACCATAGAAAATCTCACATTGGAGAGAGGCCCTTTCTATGTGATCGGTGTGGAAAATCCTTTAAACATTCCTTATACCTTCATCATCACAAGACAATTCAATCGGGAATAAAACATTACAAATGTGAGATATGTGGGAGAGCCTTCACTTGGAAATCAGACCTTTCTAAACATGTTCAAACTCATGGTGGAGAGAAAGAAACCTGAGGATGTAAACAATGTGAGAAATCCTTCAGTTATTCCAACTCCTCAGGAAAAACTCACCCTCTAGCAAAATCTTATAAATGAAGAATATGTGAGAAAGCCTTCAGTTATCTTTGTTCGTTTGTCTTCTAAGAAATCACTTTGTCTAACTGATGTCAGGTATGTGGGAAAGCCCTCAGTTGCCCTGATACACTTGACGTGAAAAGAGCACACTGGAGAGATGGTCTTCAAGCATAAGGAATGTGGGAAAGCCATCCATCTCACAACCCAGCCTGTTAGGGCTCACAGTGAAGCCATACTATTAAGAAACATGTAAAGTACTTTATTGTTTGCTCAGGGAAATATATATTCCCTAAATATGGGAGATCTTTCAATGCAGAGGAACTCTACTGGTATAAGATTTCTGGAAAACTGTACATCTCTTGAGTACTTTGATGTTCACTTGTGATCTCACTGTGGAGAAGAACATTAGAAATGTGAGAAATATTGTAGAGTCATCATTTTTTTCCACTAGATTGTTGCTCATGCTTAATAAACATGGGGTGATTCACAGGCAAGAGTGTAGTAAATATGGGAAATGCTACCCTAAGTCTGAAATCTTAGGGTTTCTGAGAAAGGATAGTGTTCCAGGGGGTCCCAAAGATCTATTTTGAACATTTGTCATTTGGCTGTGACCTTTCCTGGGCAGTGATACGTCTTTACCTCATCATCAGGCCAGGCCAGTCTAGTTGCTACATTTTCCAGGTCACAACCTGGCCAAAAGTGGGCCTACAGGATTCACACTTAGAGCCCCTGTTTTTTCCTGTTGGATGGACCTGGTCTTATATTGTGAAGACAGGAACTGCTTGACTGTGTATGAGGCTCACCAAGTCCATCTACATCAAGTCCCAATGGCCAAAGTGGAGGATATAGTACATTTCTATAAATCTTGTAAAGATGGCTTTGTCCTCTCTCACACCCGATCCTTTCAGGGTCAGGGTCAAGCATGGGGTGAGTGGAGAGGAAGTGAGATTTCATCTACTAATGTGAGACACACTGATTTCCTGACCTTTGTGGGAGAACAACACCCCGACACCTGTGGAGGACATTCAACCTCAGACCTTGCAGGAAGAGGGTGAGATTGTTCCTTTTCACCCCTATATTCAGCTCCACACCCATGCAAAACAGTCATGTCATGTGTCTGGATCAAGCATTGTCTGCTGTAGGTGACATGTCCTCCCTCTGGGTTTGTCCTCCAATTCAAGTGCTTGAAAAGTGAAAAACTCATGTGACTGGCTGCTCCTGATAATGTGCGCTGCTTGATGCCATGACTGGCAGTTCCTGAAGGTGGGCTTTGGGTTCAGACACAGACAAATGACTAGTACACCTATTATTCCTCTTAAAGATGGCTTTACGGAGGTTCATCTCTCCTCAGTTACTCCCCCATCTTTGTCACCACTGGGAATTACAGAAATTGAACAGGATCAGTCAGGATTTTTTTTTTTTTTTTTTTTTTTTTTTTTTGCAGTACGTGGGCCTCTCACTGTTGTGGCCTCTCCCGTTGTGGAGCACAGGCTCCGGATGTGCAGGTTCAGAGGCCATGGCTCACGGGCCCAGCTGCTCTGTGGCATGTGGGATCTTCCCAGACCAGGGCACGAACCCGTGTCCCCTGAATCGGCAGGCGGACTCTCAACCACTGCACCACCAGGAAGCCCCCAGGATTTTTTATTGGCTCAGTTCTACCAGTTGTCAGTAATGTCTTCAGTACAGGTGTACCAACTGCATCATTATTGCCACCAGAACTAGCCAGTCCCTCATTTATGTGCCACCAATGAAGCCAGCTACTGCATTACCAGGTCTGATGCATTTACCAGCAGGTATGCCTAACCTCTGTGCCCTCCCCATTCTTAAGCTTTCTGCACTGCACATCATGCCAGGTGTCAGTTAGCCAGAACCCAGGTTCTGCCTTCCTAGGACTTTATCTAATAGTAAAAACGTCATTTCAGCCTCTGATGAAAGGTTACACAGTTCTCATGCTCGAGCAGCCTTGGGTTACATCGTGTATAGCCAATCAGGGTACAGCTTCTTTTTTTAAAAAAAATATTTATTTATTTGGTTCTGCTGGGTCTCAGTTGTGGCAGGTGGGCTCCTTAGTTGTGGTGGGTGGGCTCCTTAGTTGTGGCATGCAAACTCTTAGTTGTGGCATGCATGTGGGATCTAGTTCTCTGAACAGGGATTGAACCTGGGCCCCCTGCATTGTGGGTGTGGAGTCTTAACCACAGCACCACCAGGGAAGTCCCCAGGGTGCAGCTTCTTGATGACACTTTCTTGAGGCTAATCAAACCATTGTAATGATAATCCAAATCAAGCTTAAAACAAAGCCTGGACTGGAATTAACCTCTGAACCTTCATTTATACATATTAATATGTGGAGTCATGTGTCATGTTTGGTTCTTTTTTGTGTATGCATATTGCTATTTGGCCTATCTGTTGACCTCTTTAATTATTGGCAGTGACACTGAATTATCAGCAGAGTAGTCTTAACTCCCTTGAATGCAGTGTAATGGATTATATACTAGCCCTGGATGACATTCTGATTTTCTGGAATAAGACCTATATTTCCAGTAGAATTTGTTGCAGTTGCCTGAGTCTGAGACCTCATGGGTCATGTTAGAGGTTTAAATGCAGGTTGGCCTCATTCTGCTGCTTGGATTCCTAATGACAGTGTCATCAACAAGTGCTCACTGAGATCCATGAAGCAGATTTTGTCCCAACTCTTGTTCTTTAGTGGTTGACAAGGTGTCATTTTCATGTGAAAATTCTCCAAAAGCCAAGTTGATGTGTGAACCAGGAGTTTGCTGAAGACCCTCCGTGCATCGCTCTTGCCCCTGCTCATCATGTTGTACATGTGAATACAAGGCTCTGACCCCTTTTTTTCTCAGAATTGAGAAGCGCAGTGAGGAACGTGGAAAGATGAGATCATCTCTCCCATTGAGACAACAAGCAGGCTTGGTTACTACTGCAAAGAAATTGAAATAAATTCCACAACCTCAGCATTGCTCTCCTGTAAGACAACCCAGTGTATGTGCAGACTCGACATGGGCCCTCTGTGTCACCCCTGAGAGACTCAGGGACAAAGGGACAAAGGGAACCAATACAAACAGGCTAATTTTCCTTGGAGGAAGGGAATAATCAAGTCACTGGTCCAACAGTTTTGGTGATGGAGACATGGCTTCCTGGAAGAGGCAGAACAGTAGTGGCCAGGCTGAGTGGAAAGACAGAAAAGCATCTGGAATCCAGTAATGAAAGCTCTTCCCCAGACATTTGCCCATGTTTGAGGCAAGAAGAGGGAACAAGGATCCCTGCTGTCCTACTTCTTAATGAGGCTTAACAGTACGTGTATCAGTAGTTATATCAGTTTGCTTTTCCTTAATTTCTCAATCTTATACTAACCTTAATTTTTTTTAATTTTTAATTTATTTTTTGGCTGCATTGGGTCTTCGTTGCTGTGCTCAGGCTTTCTCTAGTTGCAGCAAGTGGGGGCTACTCTTTGTTGCTGTGCGCGGGCTTTTCATTGCAGTGACTTCTCTTGTTGCGGAGCACGGGTCCTAGGCCCATGGACTTCAGTAGTTGCAGCATACCACCTTGGTAGTTGCAGCACACAGGCCCTAGACTGCACAGGCTTCAGTAGTTATGGCTCGAGGGCTCTAGGGCACAGGCTCAGTAGTTGTGGCGCACGGGCTTAGTTGCTCCAGGTCTTGTGGGATTTTCCCAGACCAGGGATCAAACCCATGTCCCCTGCATTGGCAGGCGGATTCTTAACCACTGCACCACCAGGGAAGTCCTATGCTTAATTTTTTTTTTTTTTTTAAAGAAGATGTTGGGGGTAGGAGTTTATTAATTTATTAATTAATTTTTGCTGTGTTGGGTCTTTGTTTCTGTACGAGGGCTTTCTCCAGTTGTGGCAAGTGGGGGCCACTCTTCATCGCGGTGCGCAGGCCTCTCACTATCGCAGCCTCTATTGTTGCAGAGCACAGTCTCCAGACACGCAGGCTCAGTAGTTGTGGCTCACGGGCCTAGTTGCTCCGTGGCATGTGGGATCCTCCCAGACTAGGGCTCGAACCCATGACCCCTGCATTAGCAGGCAGATTCTCAACCACTGCGCCAGCAGGGAAGCCCTATGCTTAATTTTTTAATGTCACTTTATACACAGACATTATGTGGACTTTAAAAATACCTACGTTTTTGCTATCCAATCTTAAAATCCTTTTCTTTTACTTGGAGCATTTACTGTATAATATAATAAATTACTAATAAATTTGGGTTTGTGTGTATCTTATTTTTTCCATGTTTATCTCATTTTCCATCTTTCTCTACATTGTTAGTGTATTTTCATGCAGACGATTTAACTGTCGATGATTGAAATTTATATGCTCCACTACTTTTCCTTTAGTTGCTACCCTGAAACCTTCTAAATTAACGTCTTTCATTGAAGTCTTTTTTTTTTAATTCATTGAAGTCTTTTTTTTTTTGTGGTTCACGGGCCTCTCACTGTTGTGGCCTCTCCCGTTGTGGAGCACAGGCTCCGGACATGCAGGATCCGGATGTGCAGGCTCAGCAGCCATGGCTCACGGGCCCAGCCACTCCATGGCATGTGGGATCTTTCTGGACCGGGGCACAAACCCGTGTCCCCTGCATTGGCAGGCGGACTCTCAACCACTGCGCCACCAGGGAAGCCCTCATTGAAGTCTTAATACCTTTTCCCTTGTACAAAGTGTACTGGGACTTGTGAATACTGCAATGCCCATTGTCAACTCCTCAGCAACACACTGACCCAGAGACCCAGAAATCAGTCTGTAGTCAGAAGAGCCACAAAACAGGCCCAGGTGACAAAAAGAACCAAGTCCCCCCAGAGAAGTGGCAGAGCCGCCCCTGTCTTATGAGAGGTTATGTTTGACAGGGAATGGATACCCCAGTGGGGAAGTGCTCAGTATCATCAGAAACAGTGAAATTAGTGTACTATC